ACTAGTAGCGATGCCCTTGTTTCTAGTAGCTCCTTGTTCCTAGTAGCAGTGCCTTTTGCTACTAGTAGCGATGCCCTTGTTTCTAGTAGTGTCTTGTTCCTAGTAGGCCAGGAGCTACTAGTCGCGTCGGTGAACCTCAACGAGTCGATGTCTTGAGGCCAGGACTTCACAAGCTCCTGTCCGGACCTTGGAGCCAAGCCACGGAAGGTCGAACATCACCCCGACCACCCAGACCTACGGGTCACCGGACTTGCGGGTTGGACATGTCTTCAGTGGTTCAAAGGGAAAACGCAAGATGAATTCGAGTCCGGTGGTTGCAACACCACAGGCATTTGACACGTTTCACCCTTTTATTGGAACCTGAGCGACTCTATGAACCTCCCTGTTCATGTTTAGTGGTGGGTTTGTCATATGAATGTTTTGCAGAACCCAAACCTTTTGGTGTGCGATTAAGGTTGCGTATTTTTTTTGTGGGAGATGCCGAGACGGGCGTTGCAAAAGCTGCGCAAGCGAGCCCAAGTATCAGCATACATGTCATGTCTGTCCGTGGTTTTTGGTCCATCCGTGGTCCGAGCTGTTTGAGGTCTACAGAGAGATGCAGATGCACGTCCGATGGCCGTGGATCTTCTCAGCCACTTGGACGAAGTTCTTTGACTGGGTGGTATATGGGAACTGTACATGGAACCTCTTGCAAGGACGTAAGGGTAGAGGGCATGGGCAGAGGGCATCGCAGAGCCGACGGCCAAGAGCTAGCCCCTGTGCCAACTGCCAATGCCTAATAAGAGGAATTTGATTGGCATTGCTAGCGCTCGCTGCTGTGGAAGGACTAATCAGTCGACAAATAGCCTCCAAACAAAAGCACAAGTGCTGCGATGGTGAAGAACAGTCAATGTTCGGCAATAAAGACGGATTAGAATCAGGGACGCGCATTAGAATAGGGAGGCCCTCCATGAATGTTTGGTCTGCTTGGAGGGCCCTCGGAGCCAGCTACATACGAAGGATTGCTTCCAGTGCCCCAGATGACTCCAAGGCCGTTCAGCTCAAGGCTCCATGAGGACTTTTGTTGATGCAACTTCTATGCCGTTCTATGCCTCCCACAAACCACCATTGTGCTGACCAGAAAGCGAAGCTCCGCACCAGTCTTCCTATTTGGGGAGATGTGTTCAACTCCTGCCTGAAGGAAACCCTCCAAGATGCCTCGCAGCCGTGCCCGTCAGAAGGATGTCATCTCGTCCAAAAAATAAATGGGGGCCACCAACTGGGTGTCCACGGTCGCCTTTGATGCATCATGAGGTCATAACTTTATTTCTGTGAATTAGCATTGCCACTCGGCGGGAATCTGCGTGACGGATAGGATCCTTCGAGGGTAGATCGAGGGTACAGAGAGGTGCTGTTCACTTGCGGCACTTGCGGCACTTGGGGGGTTTTACACCATGATCACACCACCTGTCCGAACACTTCCACTATCAGGAGTCCGGATTCTCACTACCAATCATCAAATCATCTTCAATCTACAAAATCTTCAAAATCTGCAGAAGTTCGGCGTTTGCCATGGTTTCTTTGGCCAGAAACTTCGGGGCATCGATTCTGCTCCCGGGTGGACCGGGTCCTCCCCGCGGCGACCAGAAGATCGATGCCCATGGTGCCATGGTGAATCACCTGAACTCCCTGAATCACCTGAACTGCCCATGGGGCAACGACAGTTCCTTGAGGCTGCCTGGTTGTTCTTCCATGGTGTCTTTGGGTGTTTTTCCCAAGTCTTGATCGGAGTCCCTCGCTCATGTGGTTGGGGTTCCACTCCACCCTGGCACCGATGGCACCGATGGCCCCAGCGGCCGAAGACACCAATGGCCGCGACTGAGGTTACCCGTCCAGAGACGCATTTAGCATCTAGAGCATCTCGACACGGGGTCAGCTAAGCGAGAAACAACTGCATGGTGTTTGACCGGGCCGTGTTTGACCGGGCCGTGTTTGACCGGGCCGAAACCATGCGACACCCATGGATGCCAAATATCTGGCCTGGGGGCAACCGCAGTTCCTTGAGGCTACAGCCTGGTTGTTTCGGAGTTGAGTATCAGTTTCGACTGGGAAGAAAACATCGTGCTTTGGTTTGCTAGTCGTGGAGAAAGGCAAGGTTACCATAAGTGGTTACAGTGTCTTAGGAAAAAGACTCGCTGGCTCATCCAGACACAAGGTCCAGTTGCAGTGTAGTGAGAGAGTGGGAACCAACAAAACAAGTGTTTTTTGGGGCCTGCCACTCTGAGCTTCAATGAAGTGATAGAGTTGTTGGACATCACATTTGTCCAGGTCTCTCCGATACAGGGATCGTCAATTGATACTAGTTGCGTGGGAGGCTACTGAACTCCATTTGATGCCATCGCTGTTCCACTTTTGCCGATGTAATGAACATCCCAGAGTCTATACAAGTTGGGTTTGTTTGAAGTGAAGACTTCTTTGGATCAGCAGATCATGCATCGAGTGTCGAGCCCGGGCTCGTCATGCAGATATGTTTTTAGATTTGTTTCTATATGCGACCTTTCCTATCCATTGTTCCTTTCCTTTCTTCGTTTCTACTAGCGATTGCCTCCAACCTACTTGCGATGGCCTCCAACCTACTAGCAACGATAATATAATACAGGTTTATGATGTATATGATTCTTTGTGATTAAGCTGACCCCCTTAGGGGGGCTGACTTTACGTCCCCTTATCCGCGCGAGCCGATGGAGTCTTGCTCAGCAGGGGTCTCACGGATGCAACGAGACAGCAACCTCGACCGAGCTTGCGACTGTCACAGCTTGTTTGAAGAGACAGCAATCGTTTTCTCACGCATCAAAAGACCTTCCTCATCCATGTTGTTTCGCTGGAGGTGGATCCGGTTTTTTGAAGGTGTGATATGCAAAGACTCAAGGCTCGTGCGACAGAAGCTGCTGCCGTCTGGCAGAGTACAGTTCTTTTGAAGGCAGGTTCCAGTGACGTAGTGGACATGATCTGTTTAGGATCAATCCTCTTCTTTGGGTTCTCTGGGCGGGGGGCCGAGGGCGCACAGGGTGAGGGAAGCTCTGAAACCTCATATCCACAGGTACCTTCCAACCATTACTCGGAACGGAACAGTCAGTTATTGTGGTGCTTTGGTATACGCCTCCCTCCCCTGACCCCCCGTCCAGTCACCCCAAGATCGTCACGTGGGAGAGGTCATTCAAGTCCACATTGGACGACATGGTGGATGTGCCGATCTGTACATTTGTGACATCAGACTGTGGAGTTCGACCATGGGAAGCGAAAGATCGATGGAGGCCCTGAGACATGGAGCCTGGGGAAAGCAAGTCGCCATCCTTTGGGTCTGAAAACGAAAAGATGGTATCCACGGCCACGACCATCCTTCGGGTCCGGCTGGTGGTTTGAGAATCCCAGCATTGATGTTTCCTCAAGCAGGCTGGACAGGTTAGCAGGGAAAGAGAGACAAGTACTTACCTTTGGCATGAGGACCTACATCTATGGCATAAACATCTACAGTTGGTTTTCATGCTCACAGCTGACACATTCTGGTGTTTAGGGAGAGCAACTTGTAGTTAAAGGAAGGTCAGCCCCACCGGGACAACACTGGCCTTTCTTTCTTTGTATAGAGGGAATATTCCTTAGGTT